GCGAGGCGAAAGGCGGGCCGCTGGGGCGGCAGCCGCCTGAGGCGAGCGACTGTTGCGGGGGGCGGGCGGCGGCATCCGCCATGGACTGAGGAGGACGCGATGGGCAACAAGGAGTCGCGCATCGGCTTCCTCACCTACGACGAGGCCCTGCGGAGGGGTGAGTGGAGGGCGGGGCGCCGAGGAGGCGGGTATGCAAATGAGCCTTGGAGCGCCGGGATTGGTTCCGGGGGCGGGCATGCTAATGAATATGTAAATGAGAGAGGAGAGACAGAGGGGCGCCGGGTTGGCAGGGAGCAGTGACCTCTGCTTGAGGGAGGGGCTAAGTTAATGAGGCATGCGAAGAGGGGGCGGAGCTTTGGGGAGTAGAGGGGCTACATCTCGCCCCCTGGTGCTGGAGTTCAGCTCCCATCATCCGTAGCCAGCCTGGCTAGTTTCTTATTTGGGGTCCTTCAGGGGTGGCAACATGGCAGACTGGTAGCTGGGATGATGATGTGAGGTGGAGACAACCTCTCTGGAGGGCACAAGGTAGGAGGGTGGCTGGGTAGCAGTGGAGATGGAGGGAGGCTTGGGGGTGACATGGGGACAGCCATGGGGAAGGACTCAGGATGGGCCAAGGCAGCATTGCTGGTGAGGGAGAGAAGAGATGGGCTGGAGAGTTTGGGGTCTCATTATGTGGAATAGTGAGGGGGCTGGAGTAATGGACCATGGTAAATGTTGGGAGGAAGGGGATGGCCATTACTGCTGTGCAAGGGGGGATTTTGTGGGTGGGGGTGGACAAGTAATGCCTGCCTAGTTGCTGAAGTCTGTTAAAGTATTTACAGAACAGTTCACAACGCACCTTAGGATGTAACTTCAAAAGTTGTCTGTTGGAACCAACTGTACAGTGACCAGGATTAAGGTTGCCATGATGGGGTGCCTGTTGAGGGGTTGGACATGTCCCTCTTCAGGTGTTTATGGGACGGGGAGTGACTATAGATATTGATTAGGTCTTGGAATGAAGCTCACACTTAAAAGAGAATATGATCAATGAGACCTTGGGGAATGGAGGGCTTATCGCTCAGAAGAATACTGAGATAATATACTTGTAGATCTTCAGATACTTGAAAGGGCTAGATATTCATATATGTTAATTACTATTATTTTATATGCTTGGTGCGGTGGAGAGTGTAGAACAGATGTTGTTGTGATTACAGGTATTCTCCAGGTTAAGAACGCACAGTTTATGGACAACCCATAGTTAAGAACAGAACCTATTGTAGCAACATTCGAGTTAAATTCCCAATTATTTTAGTTAAATGCACAATGGTTCAAGTTCATTACACAATACTACTTCTACAGTATTATACAATAATACTGTTCCAGCTTACATACACATTCAGCTTAAGGACAGACCTTGGGAATGGAACTTGTTCTTAAACTGGGGACTACCTATATTGTCATCTGCTGTATGTTAAGGTCCCTTGGAAGAAAATCTCTTTAATCTGATGTTTGTTGTTTTATTGATGGTTATTACAGTAGTATTATTGGTTGGTTGTTATAGTGTTATTAGCTACTGTGGAATAGTGAGAGATCATACCTAATAAAAAGTATTTAAAAGCACAAACATATTCCAGGTGCCTGATAACAGGCCATTATAAGAACTGCAAAATGTTAAGAACCAGCTGCTCATATTCTTGTTTCCCCTTTTCTTCTCTGCTAGTTTTCCTTTTGTGTCATCTCCTTTTACACTGCAAGCCTGCGGGCACAGACTGTCTCCTTTTGTTTATCTCTTAGCCCCTCTGGGAGCCTTTTCCCACCCTGGGGATAGAAGTGCTTTCAATACGTCAATCAAAGTGGCACTGTGACAGAATGATGACTTGTAGCTGATCTGTGGATGTTCACGAGGCTGAAAGCGTGACGGTCCTGGTCTGGAGGTTCTTGAGGTGATGCTGTGTCTGGGGAATGACAGTTAAGCCTGGAGATGAGGCATCGGGCAACCATTGGATTGCAGTCAGGGCCTGGGTCAGAGGAAGAGATGTGACCTTCCTTCCAGCTACTGCTTTTAAAAGTGTTCAAGGGGCAACATGTGATTAGAATTGGGGGAGTTGTGGATTTCATTAAGGGGGCCCATGCCAAATAATTCCAGTCATGGGGAAATGATGAGGCTTCAGGCTGAGTGGACTGACTCGTGAGCTGCTGATGAGAGGAGGCTCTGGCTCCCTGTTGGCCCAGGTGGGTGAATTCTGTGTGACTCGAGGATGGAGTGTTTCAGCTTGACAGCCATAGCAGTTACTAAGCAGTTTCAGCTGAACAGGCCAGGGTTGCTGTGGGGGAGCCAGAGGCAGTGGGCATTGTATCAAGAGCAGAAGCCCAGCCTGAACCTCACTGATAGGGATGGAGTTCCAGGAAGCAGAGGGACTGGCAGATAGGTGGGGTGAAAGTGGGTGAAACTGTGGGATGTATGATGGGGAAGGTAGTAATTAGCTTCCAAATTGATCAGAGGTAGCTGCTTGTGAGTTGAGGGATGAGTGGAAGAATAATAGCAGACTCATTAGAGGGGAAAAACTGGCATCATTTCATATGAATGACTGTGGACAGAAGCTGGAAGGGCAGCATGGAAGAGCATGCAGAGGGGGCTGAATGGAGTTTGCCATAACACAGAGCAGGGAGAAGAAAGACTGGGGTTCAAGCAGTGTGGGGGTCAGCTAGTGCCTGCAGAAAGAGGGAAGCCCAAGGGGCTTGGAGGGAGAGCAGCAGGGAACCACACATGGCAGGATAAACTAGGTTGGTATGATGGGGCACCAGTTGGCAACAGAGGTAGTGGGGGTGAGATTGCTGAATGGAGATGGTGATAAGCGTGTGTGTGTGTGTGTGTGTGTGTGTGTGTGTGTGTGTTAAGAAAGAGGAGGTAAGTGAGAAGGGAATATTGGCCCAAGAGAGATGGAGTATTTAAACGTGACTGGAGAGAGAGTTTATCATCCTACAGGGATGTCCCTGTAACTGAATTCTGGAGACATAGCTGGTAGGGAGAGAGCCTCCTCTGTAAATAGCCTTTGGGCTGTCCCATTGTGGAAGCCAAGGTCTGGAGCCGTGCAGCCTTATTCCCTCCATGGAACAACTAAGGTCAGCATGAAGTGTCTTTCCATTCATAACACTGCTGTCATGGGCCTGAAAGACAGTAAGGGACCTTGTGCTTTGAGATGGCACCTTGAACTTTCTTGGAAGGCCCTGGCATGTGGGAACTGAACAGCACCTGGCTTCAGTCCTCTGGGCTGAGGCATTCTTTGATCCTTGTCCATCCATCATCACTCTTGGCTAGAACACACATTTTCTCTTGGTCTCTTTTATATTCTTGCCTCCTTTCCTTTGATTAAATCTCTTTTTTTGTGGTGGTGGTAGTGGGCTATGGGTATTAGATGAGCTGCGATGTAAGGGGTAGGCAGTGAACTCAGGTCCTGATAATGCAAGACACCCTCTTTTCCATTTTGTTGCAAGCCTTTTTTCCAGTGGCTTATTTTGCTCCCAGAGTAGGACCTGGATGGAGTACACATGATCCATCACTGGCCTTACAGAAGCTCCTCTTTCCTCATAAACGTCTAGGTCGTTGGGTCCAATCCTTTTGTGGTGCACAGCTCCCAATTAAAGCACCCCCAATGCATGGCTGTCTAGCCTCTGCGGGTACACATCCAGTGAAGGGGAGCCTACCATCTTTCTGGGTCAGGAGTTCCACTGTCAAACTGCATTGTTTTTTCCCCCCTGATATTCAGTTGGAATCCGATTTTCTGTGACTTATTCCAGACCTGCATTCTGGAATTAATCAAATCCCGGGCTTTTTCTGTGTGATACCCTTTTAGGAGTTTGAAGAGGGCTATCATATCCCTTCTCAGTTTTCTCTTCTCAAGGCTAAGTATACTCAGTGCCTTCATTCTCTTCATTGAACTAGTCCCTGGCTATCCTTGTTGGCCTTCGTTGAACCTGCTCCACTTTGTCCAAATCCTTCTTATAGTTTAGTGCCAGGAATTGGACACAATATTTTAAATGATGTTTAACACAAATTGAAGCAATTGCTTTCTATAATTGAAGACACTATATTTCTCTGGTGTTCGCATTTTTTTTTTTTGCAGCCACATCATACTGCTGACTCATACTCTGTTTGTAATCAACTAATATTCCAGGATCATTTCACAAGTATTATTGCCAAGCAGGTATCTCCCCCTTCCTTTAGTTTTGCATTTGATTTTTGTTTTTTATATCTGTCCTTTTGCCATATTTTCTATCTTATATGCAGCCACACTGGCTCTCTCTGCTCTTTCATTTTTTAAGTAACTGAAATGGTTCTTGTGGGATATGACCTGCGTTCCTTTGCCTGTTGCTTTGTCAGTGCCTTGCATGGGTGTATTGTACCTGCTTGGTCCTGTACCTGGGCTTGAGTATCTGCCTAGGACTTTGGATGGGATGACATGAAACAACGGCTATGTTAAGAATTTCAGGTTGTACTTGAATCTATTCTGGTCCTTTCCAAAATCATGTTTGATTTTGGGAGTAGGAATCTTGTTTGATTTGGGGAGTAGTAATCTTAGTACATCTGGAAGATGCCAAGTTTGAGAAAGTTAGCAGAATGAGTAAGGAAGCAGGATATTTAATTGAAACATACTTGGAGTTTGCAGTGGTTTGAATAATTTTTGTGGTTGCTAATTGCTCCCAAATTTTTCTTCCCAAGTATAAATACAAGGCTGTGCCAAATTTGAGCAACATTCCTTAATGAATAGTTGTTGCAATTAATGCAAGTTTGAAGTTGAACTTCAGTTTAGGCTTCCCTGTGTTGAAATCCAGTCCATTTCCATTGTGAAACATATCTCTTGTTTCTTTAAGAGGAACAAGGACGTCATAATGTTAACTGGCGTAAGGTTTAAAGGAAAGACTATGAGGAGGTGATTGTTTAAAGGAAAGAGGAAGAAAAAATATTAAAACACTAATTTTCTCAGACTTGTAAATAGCTGCTCTCCTGGGGCGAGTAAAACCAATTTCTAGGCAACCAAACAGCAAAGCTTTTCAGATGTTCATGTTGTACTTTTCTTTATAGAACACACGTGTTCCTCCAGTGTGTCTGAGATCCAATCATTCTTTGGGTAGATTAGTAACTTTTGTCATTTTATTTGCAAAACCAGATTTAGTTGT